ATATATATATATAGCTAAAAACTATGGGAAATAACATTTTAAAAAATGCATGGTTTCTGTAAAGTTTAGGCTTTTCAATGTTAGAAATTGGTCATATTTACTGCTTTATTAAGCTGTTAAAACATTCAGTCAGTCACTTTGGTCATTTGTTCAATAATTTTTTTCCGGATCCGTTCAGATATGTTTGCAAAGCTGACACAAAGAGTCAAAGTTTACATGTGATTTTTGTTATGTCTGTTATTTGGTTAAAGTCTATATTCAGTGAAGGTAGCAGATTTTATAAAAGTCCTTATGTCTGACTTTTCTCACATCGTGTAATAACACCATAATCGTTTTTATACGTGGTTGCAGTGATTGTACAAAGCATAGCAACAGTGGTTAAAAGAGCTGAAAATATATTTTTCCACACATTTTCAGATTTTTGCAAAGCCAGCATTATATTCCTGAGAGTTTAATTGCATTAATATAACATAGCTGTCAGCTGGAGAAAACGTGAGATTTTCCTTCACCTGAGGACATGGTCTTGCAGTCAGCACCGTTTGTCAGATGAAAAGCTGCATCATCAGACAGAAGTCCTTCTAGATTAACCATTTGTTCATGTTTTGCTATAGTACATTGCCATAATTATTTTTTATTCTGCGTTAACAGAATTGTGTAAGAAACAAAACTGCAGTGGATTGTAACGGACTGAAAACACGTTAACAAGGTCAAACAAAGTGCAGATACTCGGCTGCATCTGACTGCTTTTAAACAAAAAAGAAATTGTTGTTCACTGGGTACAAAACCATAACTGCTGCAGAAACTATTTTTCTGGGTTACCCTATAGGGAAACAAGTTTGGACCGCATATTATTCATTTATTAAGAGAATTTGTCAGATTTCCCAGAGCAGTGAGCGTGTCTGTATATTATCATGACTGCAGCAGTTCAGACTAGTGATGCGTTCAAAGTGACCTGTTTATGTCACCAGGTCCAACCTAATCACATTTCCATCACAAAATATTACAGATATGGGGTAAATTGTGCATGACACCTACAGGTTTAGTTCATGTCACATCTGTGGAAAGCAGTGCCTTAATAAAAGGGGTTTTGTTGGCCTGGTGGTGCCAAAACATGCATCATGTCATTTTTTAACAACACCCTGTGGGTGTTTTGGGAACTGAAGAGAGCAAGTCCTGAGGTGTTCACTAGTTTTGTCAGTTACAGATGTGTGGTAACATCAGCCCCTCAAACTACCCTGGTGTCAAAGTGCTCTTAAGTTTCCTCATGCACCAAAAGTTTTCAGGGAGCAACAAGTCTGGATGGAATAACCGTAAGGTTTGCACCTCGAGCAGGGGTCTGCAACCTTTATGATTAAAAATGCCATTTCTTCCTCTTTGCACACTAAATAAAATGTCTATGGAGCCGCAAAACCTACTAAAACTGTGATTATCAACTGGTGGCCCATGGGCCGCTTCAAGCCGGTTGCAGGGGGCTTTTCCAGCCAGTAGGTGTGATATTACGAAACTAAAATATCAAATTATTATTAATATTTATTGGTATTTTTATATTTTAGGGCAAAAGAAATGACTGGATTTATGTAAAGAAGAAAAAATATATAATTTTTTACCAATTATATAAAAATTGAAACACAAGTATGCAAGCTTATGTGAGTTTTCTTTTTAATTGTGGAAACAATTTATAAAGTATCCTATTATCAAGTAATAAAGCATAATGTTAAAAAATTAGGCCAATTTGTTGGACACGTAATTGAATTTTAAAATAAAAAAAAAATACTTGCATTTACTATGGCTTAGTTTTTTTCTTTAATTTTTATTGTTACAAGTTGACTCACCATATTTCTTCTCAGCAACTTGCCTTAAAGGTATTCCCCGCAAACCATTTGGTGGATTTGAGAAAAAGATCACATCGTAAGAGTGGAAGTGAGCCAAAACAAGTGGCTAACAAACGAGTAGCATGATGTAGTCAACAAGTTTTACTCCTTGTGTTAATGCCATCATTTATTCACATGCTGGAAAAGAAATGACAGGAAAACGTCTAAAACTATCCATTTCTTGTTGTTGGTTCAGCAACCAATAAACTTCAGTTTTATGTTAGTTTAGGTCAAAACTTAGAGCCGCTGCAGAGGGACCAAAGAGCTGCATGTGGCTCCAGAGCTGCAGGTTGCAGACCCCAGACTAGGATATTCTGTGCACGTTAAAACAGATTCACTACATTTACAACCCAGGTATCATTTTTATACTGGTCAAGCCATTCAGAGCATTACTTCTGAACGACTCAGTAAATTATCTCGTTTAGCCAAACTCTCCTACAGTCATATCGTCAATTAGTTACATTAGAACTAATATGTAATATAAGGTTTTAAACAACTCTTTTTTTTTGTTTAACTTGTTCCAGCTTTTTTTTTTTATTATGTTGCTAACAAAGAAATTCAAAACAAACCTAACCAAGAAAACCAACTTTTTTTTGTTTCAACACCTGATATGTTCCTTTTACTGCTGATATTGTTTTAAAGGTTTGAATTCATTGATAATAAGTAGTCTAAGTTGTTTAGAAAAAGTATTTTTTTAGAAAACCTCCAACATTTTCTGAAACAAAATAATATACTGCAGCTGAACCAAGAGGATGACAGAACTTGTATTCTTGTTAACCAGTTACTGAGGCAACACACCACTACCATAAGTAAAAAAAAAAAAAAAGTCTGGACCAACACTGACCATCCCTTAACATATGTGATTCTAATATCCCAAAGAGTTTTGACCATGGAGGAAACAATGGATAAAAATAAATCCAAAGTGCAATCACAGATATGATCTAAAAGCATGAAGAGTGAGAAAACATGTCATAAGACAGGATGAGACGCACAAATGACAAAGCAAGCCATGAAGCAGATGATTCAGTTACATTATGTCTATAATTATTTGCATTTAGTTCTTTAGACTACTTCTTCTTTCACTTACAGATTTGGCAGTTGCTGAGATGTACTGGACCACCATCTCACGCTTGGTGCTCAAGTCCTTTCCACGCAGAGGAGCTTTGCGTTCTTCATTGAGGTTCATATCCTCCTAAAAACACACCAACAGTGAAGTGAAATGGACCATTCCAAACTTTTGACAAATATATTTAAGCAGTTTATAAATCATACACTGGATGTATGGTTGGTTGCATATGATTCAGAAATAGCTGCATCCAAGAAAAGAAAAGGAAATGCTGTGCTACTAAATTCTGATTCTAAATGCAGACATGCATGACACTGGGGGGAGCAAAACAGTCATACACTTAAACTCAAAGAATTAGTCAAAATAAAAGCATTTTAAAATGTCAAACTTTGAACCCTATCATTTATAGTGCAACGGATTCATTAGCAAGAAGAATTTTTTTTTAGATGAAACAACATTTATTATTCCATTACCGCTATGATCCTTTTACATCAGATCCTGTTCTATGGGGTAAATTAATTTCTAACTATGTCCCTTTGTTAAAGTCACAGGCTACATCAGCAGAATATAATGGAAGTAATAATTAGTCCTTGAAATAAAAGTAGCAAGGCTGCAGCAATAAAAACTGCACACCGCACCCCAACTCTGAACAGAAGAACAAAATCAAACAACACTGCTTCTATTGAGGCCATGCAATCACATCTGATAGGCTGGATAGGCAGTATCTGCGTGTTATTGGGAGTATTATCTTCATGCTACTTTAATTCGGCATCACAAAGAGGTCTTTCATGTGAGAGACATCAGGGGATAGAGTGAAGGCCGGACAGAGCACTAAAAGCTAGGGAATGACATGATGATTAGAATGGAGGAGGATGTTTATCAGAAGCACTCTCTCACAAAGAGATGGTTGGAATGAACAGTGGAAAAAATATCCTCCTGTGAGTTTTAGGAACCTGAAGATGTGGAGCCATGCTGCCCTCTAGTGGTAGGAGAAAAAAAAAGCTTCAAGTAATGTCACTCATTTGATAATAATTGTAAACGTAGCTACTTTTAAATATAAACAGTAATATTAAATTTGTTTATAACTTACCAAAAGTAATCATTTGTCACAGAAGCATGGACATGAGTCCCAACCAGAGGGCAAAGTGACCTAAATTCATCCGACTACAATTCCTCTAGTAAATACCCTCCGAGCTAAAAAGACCATTAAGATCTTTTATGAAACTGGGAGGGGAAAAATGCAGCAAAAACTTTTTCATCACCCAGAGAAACCAGCAGGTTTTTTTAATTAATCTTTGAACCCTGCTAATTTATCTGCTTAATTGGCATTCAATAAAGGAGGCAAAATGTGACGGGGTGAGTATATTGGGAGGGCGGGGGTGGTGAGGGTATGAGTAGTGAGCCTGCGGGACGCTTGTCAAGGGGCAAACTGGAGGAATGAGCTCTCCATGTTCAGCCTGCAAAATGATTAATGCTCTTTTATTAATTATACCCTCACAGGCAACATAAAAAGAATCTCAATATATCATGACTATTCTGCTGGTGCAACTGAAATGGCTTGATCTGAGCTTCTGGCTATGCTAGTGGACTTACAAAGTAACATGCACGGTTTGTTAGCTCGTGCAGGTCTGAATTTTTAAATAGCAATAATTTGTGTGCATTTACTCTCACAATAAATATCCCCTTTATTGCTGTCCATAAGTAGCAGAGTACTGAATTTAAAACAGAAATCCAGCTGAAATGAAAAACAGATTTTTTTTTACAGTGGCCCCGAGATTTCAACGAAGAACATTTGCAAAAACGGAATTACGTTTCAAAACGCGAAATTACATTAAGGCAAACCGGCAGTGGTGAGAACCGGAAGCGGCCAAACCGGAAGTGGTGGAAGAAGAAAAAAGTGCAATTACATTTAAAAATAACAATAATAATTACAAATTTTTGTTAAATATCTTTTTTAGTTTACTTTTTTCATACGTTTTGCTACTTCTCTGTTCCGAATAATGTTAAATTTTACCTGTACAATATGTCAGTGTTGACCTTAGGAAGTATGACAGTATGACGTGACTTCACGTTTAGCTGTATCATTTTGTAATTTGAGATCATCATTTGTTCTTTTGTTTTTGTGTTTTATAAATAAAGTTAAAAAATTAAATTAAAAAATTAAAATAAAAATAAAAAATTAAATACAGTTTTCCCCACCACTTCCGGTTTGGCCACTTCCAGTTTGGCCACTTCCGGTTTGGCTTAATGCAATTCCGTTTTTGCAAATGTCATTTCTTTAAACCTCAGGGCCACCGTAGCTTTTGCCAAAATGTTGTGATTGTTGAACAATGCTGAATGTTTATCTTTCATTTAAAGCTCCCAATAAATTTTTAACAGGACAATATTCTTGGCTGCTCGATCATCTCAACTCAAGTGAGCAGGTGTTTCCCTCACTAAACAGCGGTCCCTAAACAAGCAATAAGTTAAGATGGCTGCACTCTAGGCATGGCGGCATCTCACCAGGGAAGATGCCAAGCATCTGTCGATTTCCGTGGATTGCGGTTCAGGCAGTCATTAACTGCAACAGTTAAGCAAGCATTTGTTTTTATTTTAATTTCTATCTATAGACTGTGTTCCATCAACTATAAAAAGGGGCACAACTGTTTTCTAAAGTTTTTATTTTCCTATTTGTTCGATAACGCAGAATTCCAAATGTTTCACAGCAAGGTAAAGGGAAGTCACTATCCACTTTTGAAGACAGAAGCAACATAAAATAAATAAAAATACAACAACTGAGCAAAATATTTAAAATCCTGTGGTGGCAATCACGTGGCTTCAAATTTAGCACAACCCAGAGCAGTAAAAGCTTTAAATCAGAGAGAAGAACAATTAATGGATACCATCAAATGCACTCAAGGCTGAAAATAGTATGAAGAGTCTGCCTTCAGGGAAATGTGGATCTGAGAAAAGTAAAAGTACAAAATGTTTTGCTTTAGCTGTGACAAATCAATTATATTGTCCACTACCCTCAAGTTTGATCCACGAGTGTGTAAGGGCACATGCCATTATTCTCCTGTGGGTTGGTTTTAATGTGCTGGCACAGAGTGGAACTGCTGAGGGATCACATAGGAGCTTATTACTGCAAGTGTTCATCCTGACAATGGCACACACACAGAGACACATAAAACCTCAAACAAGCCGCAGCAGCACGGCAGAGTGACGCTCTTCTCTCACTAGTTCTGTGTTTCTGCTTGCATCTCCGCTCATGCTCTTGAAACTATCATTCTCTGAAGTACTGCAACTACTGCAGGAATCAAATCAGTTCACCAGAAATAAAGAAGCGGGTCTTGCTGTTGCGCGTTTTTTTTATTTTATCCGTTCGGTTGCTCCATCCTGCAGGGGTTGCCACAACGAGAGAACTTGGACAAAAGACTTGGCTGTTGTTTTACACCAAAGCCCTTCCTAAAGCAACCTGGGCTCGAACCTGCATCCTCAGGATTACTGGACTCGCACATATTTAGGCCAAAAAATATATATAATAATTTCTCATCTGGGTAATAATACAGTGACTTCTTTTTAGAATCAACTGCATAAAAGATCATAACTTTAAATATTTTTAATTTTAATGACATAAATGTACAAAATTATTGTAAATATCAAAATAAGTACAGTACAACCTCGCTACTTTGCGGTTCGACTTTTACGGACTCGTTCTTTCGCGTTTTTTCAAAATAAGAGTGGACATGACACACACTTGGCTGATTGATGGATGAGCCACACAAGCGGCATGGATTGTTTATTTAAAGTATTACAGTACTTAAATTTAAATTGTTTATTTAAACAGAAGGTGGGAGATTGGGAGTGAAACTTGAACTTGGGACTATCGTATCTCTACGTCACAGTTTTTCACTTATCTCGGGGAGCGTGGTTCCCTAAACCCCGTGATAAATGAGGGACTACTGTTTATCAATTTCACCATAAAGTCAGTGTTTTATACTGATCATATTTTTTAAAAATGTATTTATTTTTAGATGAAATTGTGACACATGAGGATTTAAAATAAAACTTTGCAACGTAATGAATTTTGAAGTAGGTATTTTGGATTTAACTGTACCATGTCTCATTAGTAAGATGAAAAATAATAAACATTTTACCAGTAGACCTACTACTGCAAACTGATGAGTATTTGAAACCAATCTGCACGTATCTTGCCAACTCCTGTGCCAAAGCTTAAAACCATTCTAGACAATCATAAAAACAGCACTAAAAGTAGTTCTGGATCTTTTACTCGTTCTAATTTTGTAAATATCTCTCAATGATAAAGCTTAAAAATTCTGTAGAGTATTCTTTGCTTTTCCTTGCCACAGAGTCTTGCTTCCTATGTTTTACCAGATCCGTTTAATGACCTTTCAGTAATGGGCTATGTGCAATCTAGGCCATGATACACATAGCAGAAAGAGGAAAAAACACACTTTCTCTTGGTCATTAATGCACAGTGGGAGGCCTCACTAATATGGCAAGGGTCAGCCCTTCATTTAAAGATAGCTAAAGATCTAAGGCATGTAGCAGCATAATAACAATCAACAGCAACATGTGGAAAAAGTTTTATAAAATTAAATTGGCATTAGTGTAATCCATCAAAAGAAAACCATCTGAAATAAGACGGGCAACAGATACTGAGGAAAGGGTATTAGCATCAAAAGAGTCCACCCACCATAGTTGTTTCTGTGTTTGCTACATCAAAGCACAAAAAAAAAAGTTTACAGTCTATGAACGCAAGCAGAACTGGCATCCACCGCACACAAGTAAATAACTCTTTTTCTTTTAGATTTTATTACTGTAATTATACTTCCAACTCGAAGTGTCAAGGCCCGTCAAATGTCAGAGCAGCAAACATGCCTTTTGTGTCATCTGTCACTGAGCAAATTGAAGCCTGGGTTTAATGTCACGCCGCTGTGAGCACAAACATAGTAATTGAGAGGTGAACTGAGTGACAGGGATGAGCACCCAGGCAAGAAAACACTGAACGTGGGCCTGATGAAAACCAGGAGCACTGATCGTATTTCTCCAGCTCTGGCAATAAAAAAGTATTGTATGAGAAATACAGGAAAGGTAAGCACCACACACACACACACACACACAGAGTCGCTCAGACATTATCAACAATGGTACACACAACCTATGCAATGAAGCCAGAGTAATTCAGCTCCTCACTTCAAAGAGATGGGCTGAAAGCTTTTTGTTAGATTTCAATCCTGCGGAACATAAGGCCAAAAATGCATTTGAATGGAGAAAATCACAAGTGTGACAGAGCTTTGACCCCACAGATGAGTGAGAAGTGCATTTTAAAGTTTGGTGGACATCTGACTGTGGTCAGGGGAACAGAACTTCGAAACGCAACATAAAATGTTTACATTTGTATGGTTTAGTTTTTAATGAAGTACGTAAATAAGGGAGGGGAAGTTTGAGATTGTCATTATATGTTCCCATACAATTATGTAATTATGTTATTATGCAGGTATGTAATAATAAGTATGAAAATAAGTAAATGTATTAGAAAAAATAATTGTATTTCAATATTTGTCAGCACGTAAAGATAAAAAAAATCATTCATATAATTTTTACTCTTTTTGCCTTGCCATAGGTGTGGAATTTCCAAAAACTACTATGATATAATTACAGAGCCAAATAATTGCTATGAGTCAATACTGCAAAATAAATATACATGAGCAGGAACGTTTAATTAGAACTGGCCTTGCAGCTTAAACTCCCAGTCACTTTCACTGTTGTTGGAGAGTTGCTCTAGACATCTGATATAAATGTTGTTCTCTTTATACAACTTTACAAATTAGATCAGGGCTATTCAACTAAACTGCTCAGGGGGGCACAGTTTCTGAAAGCCAACAGCCCGGGGGCCGGACATCCAGCGATTAAAGTCATTATGTAAATAAATCAAGTTTTACAATGATCTGTTACCTTTTAAATTTGTTTATGTTATTGCATTAAATCATAAATGCAATAAACAGAATCCAACCCCCCCCCCCCACCAAAATATACGCACCACCCCATGGTCTTATTATTACTGAAAGACTGTTCAGTACAGCAGGACAGCTTCTCTCTCCCACAAGAACCAGACTGGACTCAAAAAAACTTTAAAACCAACTTCTTCTGAACTTGAACAAGAAATTCTTGCTGCAATATTAAAATTTGTCATTTCATGGATGTTAGGAGACAAGAGATGTCTCCGAATGACTCGACACTCGGGTCCAAGTTTTAAAAATGGTGTCAGGAAGTTAAAATATCATTCACTATTGACCCATTACAAGGTTGAATAGACAGTATTTAACTAGAGTTGATGACAAACTGGAGTTGAAATGATCAGAGCCTGTTCCTTTGTCAGGTCTAATGCTCCTTTATTCAGACTGACAACTTTTACTTAAATGTGTTTACTGCAGTTAAAACGACACATTGGTTTTGCTTTGTGTTAAATAAAAACTTTCAAAGGTATAATCATTCCTCTTTCTTATTTTGCTTCATGGCATTGAACTCTGCAGTTCATCCCTGAAAATCTGCTGCACAGAATCACAAGTCTAAGTGTGAACTGTGTCACAGGGTAAACACAATAAAAACATGTATTATCTGCAGCATTGTTCATTAAAATGGCTCAACACTATTAATGTATTACAGTAAATAAACATACGTAGGCACACAATGATACTGTAGACCATTGCATTAGGTAATACATTCAGCAAGTACTTTTAATACTTTAAGTATTTTTAAACTCAAGTACTTATTTACTTCTACTTAAGTAAAAATGTTAATGTGGTACTTCTACTTTTAATAAAAGTACATTTTTGTCTGTTTATTTGTACTTTTACTTTAGTACGGTGTTTGAGTAGTTTCTCCACCACTGCCCGTGAGCCGCCAGTTGAATAGCCCTGAATTAGATGGATTTAATATTGTGGCTTGTTAATGTTTAACTTCTTTTTTAAGGTTATTTCCAATGTGGAATAGTATAAATGTATGTCAGGTACATCAAATTATAAAAAATGACTAAATTGTTGAAAATTACTGGTATGAGGATGAGCATTGAGGAGAGGCATCATGACAGAGGTGTGCTGATGTTAAACAGCTGGAGAGTTGCCTACATTACAACCAGGCACATCATAATACGCTGTTCGGTGTATTGTTTTCATGCTATTAGTGCTTTGTGTATATTTACTTGATGTTTTTCTTAGTTAATAGTCTTAGTTCATATCATAGATCTTATTACTGTTTTTCTTTTATATTTTATTATTGGATGTAACTGGGACCCTGTGTACATGTGGTGCGAATGACAAAGAATATCTGAATCTGTATAAATGCTGTGCTAAAACTGACTGAATTTAAGAGACACTAAAATGCACTGTAATTTTAACAAAGCAACCAAGCAGGATAGCATCTATCTAAAATAAGCCACTCCAGAGTAAGTAAAATAACATTTTTAAGATTAATTTAAAGTACTAATTATTAATGGTGCTCATATTTGTTTAAAAATGTATTTAGTTAATTGATTTAGACAGCTATTGTGCTCTACAACAAAGTGGAACACCCTAAATAAAGTTTTGGATGCATGGGCCTTTCATTTATTTTGTGCAAGTACCAGTAAGTAAATAAATAAATAACTCCGTGACAGCTGATACAAGATTAAGTTTTTGCTGCTCTAAACAAAATAAGAGGAGCATCAAAAACAAGTGACAGAGTAAAAGGTAAAAAGTATTCTTTGAATGAATAGTATTGTGGGCACAGACACAATGGGATATTTTCTTGATACATATTTATGAGGTTTTTTTTAATAAATGTATGTAAACTGGATTCAGAGTGAACAAGTTTGTTTCAGTTGAAAGTATCAGCAGGACATCAAAATAATCTTGAACAAACCAACAATCAACTTCTCTTTGTAGTAATAAAAAAGTGATTTGAGCTGTACAATATGAATCAACTTATTAGTAAAAATATTTTGATTATTATTTACATCTAGACGAGTGAAAAAAAAAGGAATGGGAGTTCATTTTTTAGTAAAAGAACTTGCCGTACAAAACAACAGTTGTGACAATTAAAGTATTGATATTTTGCTATTCGGGGGCTGCATCATGAAATCACCGTGTTTGACAACACAATGCAGGCGAACTGTGTTAACACACTTAACTGTCTCTTCTAATTGTAGACTCCCAAAAATGTTTAGTTTACTAATGTGTCTTTCAGCCAGTGTGAAGAAGCTCTGCAGGTGTTTGAGTGAAAAGAGAGAGCTCACGCTGTTCTGACAGCCCTACTAAAAGAAGCGACCACAGTTTTTCAAACATGTTGCTACAATTTTTTTAAAAAAATTAAAAACGAACAGATGGAAAGCAACAAAAAAAGAGCAAAAGCACACACTTAACTATTTAAATATCACTGTGTCAAACTGTAACAATGTAAACAGTAGTGGGGATCTGTTCTGTTTTTTAAATATATTGGATATACAGTAAATTAAAAGTTAAAGTATGACTCAGCCTTAATTGTTAGTTTTCTACACCGCCCTACAATCTAGCTGTTTTTTTTTTGTTACATTTTTCTTTTAAATACCATTTTATTTTCATTTATTAAAACAATTAATGAATAAAAAATGAAAAATCTCAATTTGTACACATTCTTCATGATTGTCTCTTATTGTATTGGTTGTCTACTGTTGTCGTCACTCTGTTAAAGACAGGACGGCTCAATGGGATTAACCTGTATAAATAAAGATTGAATGAAAAAAGAAGGACCGACGCATCGCTCAAAAACAGGATTTATAGCATTCTACTGAAAAAAAAACAGATATAGTATTTTTATTTTTCCTAAAGAGGCTGGTTTTGCAACATCTGTGGAACCACAATGTGCACGGCAGGTGTTTTCATGGTGGCGAGTGCTATTTACTGCACTGAGGTCTGCAGGAGCAACAGCCTGAACATGCCCAACATCAACACACAAACTGATTCAGCCTGCTCAGCTGGGTGGAGTTCCACCATCTACATGCAGTGAAGGACGTCAAACCTCCCTGTTCACGAAGGTCAGAATAAGATGTGCAGTTCTGCAAAACATTTAAAATATTCACAACTACTACAGCAGCACACTGCCTCCGCTGCCGATTTACATTTTAATTATTTTATATAGGTTTACAGTTTAAACTTTGCCTTCAATATTCATATGTTTACATACAGTTAATACAAACTCTTGTCACAATTTTTCTATTTAGTGAAACACATAATCTAAAAATTCATATTTGTGCATCATCCCTAAAGTGTGAGCTTTGTAGTTTTCAAGCAATCGCATTTCTATATTTTTTTCATTTACACATTTAAACTCGGTCTTGTTTTTAATGGTAGACCGGCATCAATTTTTCATTGAAAACCGTCATCTTTTGTTCGTCTCTACGACCTATAAACCCTAATATCTCGATGGGGCAATATTATGCAGACAAATTATTGAGTGTAACAATAAGATGTTGCATGAAACATGATGGTTGTGAAATAAATAATTACTATTTCCATGTACCTTATCTCATCAATGATAAAACTAGAATTAATGAGCACTATTGAATTAAAACCGCTTTACAAACTTAACATCTATTCATGACAGAATTTTCAAGGGAAATTTAAAATGGTAAATTATTCTTGTGTGGCATTGGGAGGCATAATAAACCAGTGGAGTGTTAGGCATGAAGGAAGGAAACATTGCAAGAGAAACAAGAAGCTTACCATCATCTTTTCAAAAAGGTCAATGATTTCTTTTTCCGAGAGGTTCATGGATCTCTCGTCAAAAAGGGGCTGCGGAACAGGCAGCTCGATATGAGTAGAGCTGGGATCCGTCGGGTGCTGTATGAGAGGCTTCTCCTTCTTCATCCCAGTTTTCCTGAAACTGGTTATACGATCCCGCTGAAAGAAAAGCGATTTTCACATTTTAAAATACTGCATTTGACAACAATTCATAAACGAACTTTATGTTTCCACACATTAAAGGTCGCACTGTGTCCTGGTGTCAGCCACAGTTTACAGCAAACAGGAAACTCTGACATGGAGGACAGCTCTAAATATGTGACTGTATACCAAAAACAGAAGCTAAACACAACCAATGGACAGAATTTAGTTTTTCATATCTTTTGTAACACCTAATTTAAAAAGTTTGAAGCATCCAACAATGTTCAGTCAGGTCAAGTGGATGGTTTGTTTTTTTGTTGAGATGTTTCGTACTTCAACCAAAGGACTTCATCAGTCCGAGGAGCCACAACAAACTCAGTCCCACAAGCAGCACACGCGCATAGTGGACCAACCAGTTTGATGGTGATAAGATGGTTTTCTGACACACACACACACACCCCGCCCAATCCCTGTTGATTCCTCTGGGCAGTCATAGCCAAAGTGGTTCAAACATCCCTCAACAGATCCTTTCAGAGTATATCTAATTTTTTCCAGATGAATATGATACAACTTCTCTTTCGTTTCTCGTTTCCTCCTTCATCCCTGCTGCTTGTGGGACTGAGTTTGTTGTGGCTCCTCGGACTGATGAAGTCCTTTGGATGAAGAACGAAACAGCTCAACAAAAAATGGATTAATCCAGATGACCTGACTGAATTGTTGGATTTTTTTTTACCTGGATTATTGAGCATGAACGTTGATGTTTTGTACTATTTTGGCTATGTTGCCTCACAAGAGTCAACGGGGGACAGGGCGGCACCCAGAAAACATCTTATCACCATCAAACTGGTTGGCCCACTATACGAATGTACTGCTTGTGGGACTGAGTTTGTTGTGGCTTCTCGGACTGATGAAGTCCTTTGGATGAAGGACGAATCATCTCAACAAAAAAAGAAACCGTCCAGATGACTTGACTGAACTTTGTTGGATTTTTTTCCCTTGGATTATTGAGCATGAACTTTAATTAAGCATCATCTGTTGACTGAAAAACGATAAGAATTAGAGGCAGATTCTTCATCTGACTTATTTTTAGCCAATATTTGCTTTTATATTTTTTTTTGCAGCCATTATTTATGCCTGTGCATACTTAGCTGATTAGCAAAAAGGAACTACAGATGTTGCGGTTATAATCAGTTCACTACAACCAAATGCCTACCGGTAGGTAAATGTGTTTTATAAGAGACAGAGATAGCAGTGTGCGTCAGTCATCATTAAACTCTATTTAGAATACAGTTGAAAGCTAAACAGGAAATCACTCACCATTAAATCTTCCAAATGTTTTGATTTGTACTCGTGTTATTTACAGTAATTAGCTCCAACTTCAACTTGTGGTGTAAGTAAAAACTTGCTTTGTTAATTTCATCAGTTGACACTACTGTTATGAATGCATTTGATATGGTTTAGTTTGAAAGTAAAAAATACACATGGATCACATGCAGGGAATGAAGGTTAGTCGTATTTAGTAGAATGAAAGGAGATGGCATGCTGAATAAATATGGGTGGATGAACTGAAAACATAAAACAAAGAATGAAAACATAAATGATGTGACTAATACAACTATTAATTTACTGAAATATTACTTAATGGATCAAACATTCAGTAAGCTAAAGATTTGATCAGATTATATATAAACAATGAATACTTTAAACTGATTTAATCAGGAGTGCCACAGATGATTTCACAATAAATAATGTGTGAGCTGGCTACAAAAGTCTAGAAAGTTTTGTTCACAAAATAAGCCTAGCAGTGCTGAATAAAAGTACCATGAAAAATCATATTTTATGTATTTAGTACAGTAGTCCCTCACTACTTCGGGGTTCGACTTTCGCAGACTCGCTCTTTTGCGGTTTTTTCAACGATTGTCAACTTTAATATTACGCACATGATTGGGACGGTACGAGATTTAAAAAAATTATGAAAAAAATACTTCGGACAGGCGCCGCCATTTTGTAGTTTTCTTTCAATAAGCCTACACTGCATTGTGGATCAAAAAAACTACATTACCCAGAAGCCAACAGTGCATCCGGCTGCTGCTTTTTGCTGAAATGGAGGGAAAGTTTTGATCTGATCCGAACCCGACTAAAAAGTTCGGTCCTTATTCGTAGTGACTTCAGTGCTCAGTGGATGCAGAGAGCCATACGGAACCAACCGGGAATCGGACCAGGACTCATCGGTTAATCTGAGTGCTGCTTGCCGGTCCAGGAATCCTCTCGAGCAGCTGCAGAGAGCCAATCAGAACCAGACCAGAACTGGACCAAGGCTGGTGAGTAACAATATAAATATTGCAGTACTGTACAGTACATTTACGTATGTTGTTAAAATTACGCATGATTAAGAGTTTAGAACATTGTAAGAGTGTGGGAAGGGTTTAAAAAGCCTTATAATATATATAAAAATACTAAAATAAATATAGTGTTACTACTTCACGTTTTTTCCACGGGGGGGTGTGGGACATAACCCCCGCGATAATCGAGGGACTACTGTATTACAGAACTACTCCAACCAGTGAGAAAGGCAGATTAAAATCTCGTTTAATTTTAGCAAAACATGACTGTTTTTAGTTCAGGATGTTTTTGTAAATAAATGCAATACAACTTTTTTTTTTTCATGCACATTTGATCCATCTACATATTTCAGTTTTTAAAAAAATCCATGCAGTCATCAACAAAACATGAGATCATGTAAAACAAAACTAGTCACACCAAAGTCAAACCAAGCACCTTACCATATCATCAGCCAATGTTTTTATATGTATGTTCTGTTGGAGGAGGGCACAGGGTGAAAAACAATATTTGACAAAAAAAATACTTCTAAACGCTCAGTTAGAAGTGTTTTCACATGTAGTGTTCTCGGGCACTCATTTGCCGATATGAAACTATTTTAAGTTTCCAATAACATGCACAATCTTTGGAAAAAAAAAAAGCAAAAGTGCAATATGTCTTAGATCCACAGCAAAAAGCAATGAATCTATGACTGTTCTCAATATCTGCTTTTACTTTATATAATTTATATAAAGAAGCAAATGCTGAGTTGTCTACATGTGAATATGAGAACACTTGTTGATTCCAAATAATAAAGTGATTTTATATAAATGTTTGGGGACTGAAATGTAAACACCCAAAGACACTATTAAAGCCAACATATTACAGATACATAAAAAGACACTAAACGTAAGTAAAGGTTTTATAATCCCACAGCCACATGTTCATCACCTCAAAACATGTGTGGCTCGATTCAAGAAAGCTGTAAACCAAAAAAAGTAGTGCAGGTTCTCAAGGCACAAAAAGTTATTTTATTGCTGACATTAGTTCTGAAGAGCACCTTTTGTTGTGACAGGGACCAAAAAGATACCACAACTTCAATTAAGACAGATGTTTTTCTTCATCCCAGACACTCAATAAGAACGGCAGATGCGACAGAGTCGTGGCTCAGCAAGAGACGGCCATTTGAAACACACCTCAAATGGGAATCAGTAACAACGTCGCCATATGTTTTTGCACAAGGCTGTGAAGTACTAATGAGTTGGGAGATGTGGGGCTGTGATGGTCATAAAGCTTGCCTCCAGCCGTGGATTTCTCCACTATTCTAATCAAGAAGCTACTGATACTGGGGCATGCAAACAAATTGTCTTTAACCTGCACCTCCCTCTGTGCACCTCCATCAGCTGTCGCTCAGGGCAAGACTGTGCAGACACAATAACTACCATTTCTGTCACTACTTTTGTCAACAACAACTGAGCAACAGTTGGGAGCGAGAGCGATAACCTGCAGAAAAGTGTCAGTATCCTGCAGTTTCCGTATGCTTCACAAGGTTTTATTTCAAATCCAGATATCAGTCTTGTCATTTTCATCATGCATCATGCAAGGAGGATTCTGTCAGGTGGGTACCCGTAATTGCTTCACTATTCTTGTGCGGGCAGGTAACCGCATAAGTCTGACTAACTTAGACATCAGTTCCACTCAGGCACAATTAGTTGCATTTACTGTAGCTGCATCACTACTCACAACATCTGTAAAGCTAATAATTTGACCCAAACAACAACTTTTCCCATTACTAACTCAGAGCGTATGTATCATTAAGCCCAGCATTCTCTGGCAGTCAAAAACCGCGTGAAACAATAGCTAATTTACAGATAGAGTACTTAAACATTTTCTAATCAATTTAACAACAATCAAACCACTGTTTGGTTAATTGCCTTGACTTGAGGGCCTTTCTTTGCCCATTATCTTGGCAACATCGCAACATTGCAATTAAACACCTAACAATTAAGCTCGCATGTCCTCCGGGCTTCCGCTGCTTATTAAAGTAAACTTTTTCATCATATTAAATGTTTATTACCACACACATAATTTTTTTTTTTTAAATAACCTAATCAAATTAGCTTTGAGTCCCTTCTTAATCAAATATGATCATGCAGATCCTCAAAAATGAAAGCACAAAAGCAATATTCCACAGCTTTAAAGCCAATTTGGGCACACAAAACCATACCAGTATGCACATTTCACTCAACAACTCCTAAAATTAATATATCAACCTCAAATGATAACATAGTCGGCTTCTGCTCCTTGCTTTATTGAAAATCCTTACCAGGTGGTGCATGCAATAATAAGTCTTCTGAGATGGACTGAAGATAAAAACTTGTTTCAGACCTACTATAATTCTACGACTTTTAAAAAGAAGCACTCAACTAATTTAACTAGAGCATCTGTGTAGAGGCTTTTTAACTCACTCACTGGAACTGTCCCTATAAAATCAGAGGCCACAATGCCTTTGTAAAACGAGCTGCGAAGGAAATGAGATTTTGCTTTAATTGGTTCTAATAATACTAGAGGATTAGTCAGTTAGCCAATGTTTGCTGTGAAGGCTGTAATCCAATGTTCAACCGACAGTTTTTGGCTACTTTACTTAACTGCATTGCGTCTTTTTTAAGTCAACTGCAGAATTCTACTAACAAATATAACATTTGCTGCAAGCAGTGTGACAATAAAATCATTTAACTTAAGGAAAATTGCATTGTTTTAAGTTAATCGAGCCTACACAGATGAGTAAACGTCATTAATCCAGATGTCCAATTCAGTAAAAAAAACAATATTTCCATAGGATGTTAAATTGTTTGATTAAGTAAAAAGCATGGCAATACTACAGTGAAAGTACTAATTATGTATATCCTTAATTCCTCAGTCTCTTCAGCTTTTACAAATTATGCGCAGACATCAGTGGAAATAAAGCACAAGATTATTCATCAGAGGAGACCTTCTAGCCACCGTACGAGTCAGCAGACACCATCAGGACTACAGCATTACGTTCTTTACACGTTGCAGGGTGACTGACGTGATACTATACTTCAAAATATGTGTAGATAATTTAATAGCAGAGTACAAATTCAAATCTGCCGGCACTAAAAGATACATGTCTACATGTGGTTTGCAAAATGGTGCAGGAACTACTAAGCCTCAGCAATGAATGACATCAATTCTGAAAAAAAAAAAAAACCATTCAGTCTTACATCAGCATTTCTGCAATGGTCTGCTTGATTCACTTCCACTCAGACTGGCACAAATGTCAGCGCTTACTTTTTAATTACAAATGAGAAGTGGCACAATTTGTGTTCTGAATGTCGACTTCAAGACCTCAGACTGTCGCTCCTCTATTTCACCAGGGAGCACCAGAGCACCTACAAGTACGTGCTAAACAACCCCTTCCAAAAGACAAAATGCTGCAAATACAAAATGACAAAAAGCTAACTTTACAGAAGCATTTTACAGTAATTTGTTAAAAATTTATCTAGAGACAAAAAGGAAAAGAAAACTTGAAGCCTGTTTGAAAACTGAAGTTTGGCTAAACTCAATGTAATTGCATTAACGAGTTGTTTCCTTGTCACTGTCATAATCACTGAATTGACCTAATTTATCTCTGTGTAATTCAATAAAATGGACATCACTGCCTCAATTATGGTCAATTTGAGGGGAAGGCATCAGGCTGCACTAAATACCATATTTGTAACCGAGTTAGATCAACCAAACAAGTTCAATTACTTTTAAAAAAAGCTTTGGTACACTATCAGCGGCTGTCTTTGTAACTATAAAGCCCTGCATATTACACTGATGTGCAGCAAACTGGCTGTGAACCAGTGAGTTATTTTACATGTAAATACAGAGAGTCAAAGCGCTGATGATCTCTAAGTGTGTGTATAAACATTGCCTAGGCCTCACAAAGTGAAGGTTACAACATACACACTGGTATTTGCAGAGCATCACCAAAAAGCAAATGCAGTAGCATGTTTTAGTCTTAAAGTGACTTTATTAGATAAAAACAGACTTTTCATTAACAAGACCTACGGGTACTATAACACAAGGCCTCACTGTTGCCAATTCACTGAATTCTCAAATACCAGAGAAACAAGCAAGAACTAAAGGAATGTAAACAAGTCACTTATTAGGTATTTTCATAAAATGCAGTTTGTGAGAGCACATTAATTAATAATAGGCACAAAAAATGTACCTTTTGTGCTAATCAACTAACAGTAGCCAGATTTTAAACAACTGGGGCTTTTTCCAAATGTATAAAAACTGTTTTAGCCCTCAGCCTGCTGCATTTCCTGAAATCTAAAACAAAGTGTATATGAAGAAAAACAGGTCAGCTGGTTGGTATTGCTCACAGCTGTGCTTGTGTCACAGCTGAGTCTGGTCAGACAGAAATTTAAAAGCAAAGAAACAAAAAAATATACACTTTATCAAGTCAAGGTTCTTTAATGTCATTTGCATCACATGTGGTACATGAGGCGGAACGAAATTGTGTACACAGGGTCACAGTTACATCCAACAATAGCAAAAATATGAAGTGTAAAGAGAAACAGTAAATAAGGATCTCAGATATAAACTAACATATACGCTAAACAAACGCCCAACGGCACGCTAAAAGATCTAAGATCTACGCTAGTCACTGATAGTGCAAAACAATACACTGAACAACAGCAGCTCGATTCTCATAAGTTCGGTTCGGCTATAGTTCACACGTTTATCGTATTTTACGCCCTATAAGTCGCGTTTTTTTGCATAATTTGCATGCCTTGCAACTTATACACCGAAGCGATGTATTTATGAATTTTGTTCCCCATATTTATAAACCAGTTTTTGGCTGAGATATGAACATGTTCATTCATTCTGACTGAAAATATTGAACACTCCCGTTTTCAGCCGCTAGATGGCAGTCGAGTAGTATGGCATGCCGTTGTATCATATAATAGGTAAAAGTGGCTATTAATGACACAGTCAGCTTACCACAGCCTGACATCATTATCTGCCTGGAGCAACAGTCAAATCGGCTTCATTTTGATGCACCGCCTCAGCAAAATGCAGCTAATTTGACCATTGAAGTGCATTTATTAAGTCAAAGTTCAACTGAGACACACCTTTACTATACAGTCGAGTAAACAAATAATTGTTTTAGGTGGATCTCTTGTTAAACTTCGAAGAAATGGACAGCAAGTCACCCTCTGCGTGTTCATGATTCTGCGTATCGGCTTTTGAAAATGCAGCTGATTTGACCATTAAAGTGCATTTATTAAGGAAAAGTTAAACTGAGACAAACCTTTACTATAATTTCGAGCAAACAAATAATTGTTTTTAAGTGTTAATCTTGTTAAATTCTTGTTAAAGTTCTCCCGTGCACGCTCCCGCGGTCGTCATTTGGCAGCCAATCAATTTTTGCCACAACCCCGGCTAACATTTCTGGGTTCGGACCACATTTTCGGGTTGT